AATATAGATTCTATTTAAATTTATGAAATTCAAAAAGAACATAGAGGTGAAACGGCTATTTCTACTACTTTGCTTAAATTGAAGTGCCGGAGGGGGAGAGAATTGAAAGATTTCATTACCCTCTCATGATGCCATCGCCCACCAAAAAATGTGGCAAAGACATATTGGCCAGTATGGTACCAGAAGGTCTGAAATGTGCTGAAATTTTTTCTTCTTCCTTCCTTTTCCGCAACCTTTCAAGCTCTTCCTTTATCTCATCCGCTCTATTCAGCTTTGGACCTAGTTCCAAACCAGAAGTCAATCCTTCCATGCCATAGATGTCATATATCTGTCTTTTATTCTCATCGGTTAAGATTTCGTATGCTTCGCAGATTCGTTGAAAGTTCTCTGTAGCAATATCTTTCATCTGAAGAAACAATGTAGCTACAGAATTAAAACTAGAAAATAGATACTCACAATTAAAATATGTTTCCGCCGTTTATTTCTTCTTCTAAAGATTCTGAAAAAACATGAACAGAATTTATATAGTGATTGAACACAATTCCTAGGGAATTCCATGTTGAAATTAAGCACATTACCTGTTTGCAATTTAAATATACAAAATTGTTCACTAATTTACTGATCAAATAGCTATGCTACCTTAAGGGTTCCCAGTAAAGGTGGTACAATCTACAAATGTGCATTACACAGTAGAAATATTTTACAAAAATCGAGATGGCTCAACCCACTCAAGAATTGAAATAAGCATATCAAAAAGCCACAAACAATGCCACTCAGTTAAATCAAACACATTACACCTTACCATTGATCACAAAAAAAGTCAAAAAAGCGCCCAGTCAACTATCCCTGATCGCAAATAACTTCAACAGAAGTGCAAATAACACAAAAACATCACTACGACAAACAAAACTAAGAAGCTGGAGAAAACAAAATTGTAATACGAATAACGAAGAATCGGTTAACGATCAGAGAATTGTGAGTATGAAATGTAAAATACATGAGGAGATTGATATTTATCAGGATGATAGACTTGAGCCCATTGGCGGTAAGCTTTTCGGATTTCTTCGTCGGAAGCTTCGGGTGAAATGTGAAGCAGAGCGTACAAATCCTTATTGGGAGGCCCAGCTTCTTCTTCTTCCTCCATTTTTTAGGGTTTTGGAGCAACGGCCAGAGGTTTAGCAGAGAGCAACTATGGAAGAACTGTGTGTTTGCTCTGTGGGTATTAGGGGCTTTTGCTGAGCCGGGGGCGGAGGTGCTGTGAGGTTGGCAAGGTTACCGGCTCGTGTTTTTAATATTACCGCCACTTCTTTGGATATCATTTTCAATTAAATTTTAGGTTAAATTACAAAATTCTTTTAGTTTTATTTTATTTTAATTTTAATTTTGTTGGTTTCACTTTGATCTCGGTAATTTAGGCTTACTCCAATTTTTCATCATGTTTTTTTTTTTTTTTTTTATTATTATTAATGTTAAACCGTGGACGAGTCAAAGATTTATACCCAGTAACAGCTTAATTCTATCGTTAATAGATATTGTCTATTTAGTCTGTTATATATCATCATCAGTCTCATGGTTTTAAAACATGTCTACTCGGGAGAGATTTCTACACTTTTATTTAAGAAATGTTTTGTTTTGCTTTCGAGATCTCACAATTCATCCCTTTTGAGAGTCCAACATCCTTGCTGGCACACCGCTCGGTGTTCGACTCTAATACTAATTGTAACAATTCAACCTAGTTGCTAGTAGATATTGTTCACTTTGACCCATTATGTATTATCGTCAGTCTCATGGTTTAACAATGCGTCTATTAAGGACGCTAATAAAAAATACTTTGTTCCTCTTTCGGGATCTCACAATACATATTTAGATAAAACTGGAGTGGTTCGGCTCGTCAATCAGTTGTTCATGCTCGAATAGACCACTTACATGAGTGCTTAATGAAGTCAAGTGTTTATAGTGACCAGTAACGTTCCGTTAAGCTCCACTTACCGTTAAAATCACTCCATAAGCTCTAGTTGAGTGCTTCAAGACTCTTTTGACCCAATAAAGAGTTCAAATAGATCCCGATAAAGTTCCAGGTCGATGTAAAAGCATGTGGGATCATATTGTTCAAAGCTAAAGGTAACAAGATGAAATGTGACGTTGCAGGACCTTGTGAATTTATAATTTTTTCGATACAAGTTTATAAATTTAACATAAAAAAGGGACAAAAACAATAAAACACACCCATGATTCTTATCTAATTTGTTTCTATTTAGACCTTATATTTTTTAAATATTACAATTTTACTCTTAAATTTTGAGTTTAACTTTCATTTGATCTCTATATTTAAAAACGTTATATTTCTGTAATAGTCCAAACCCACCGCTAGTAGATAATGTTCACTTTGACCCGTTACGTATCGTCATCAATCTCACGATTTTAAAGTGCGTATGCTAGGGAAAGGTTTTCACCCGCTTATAAAAAATGTTTTGTTCCCCTCTATAACTAATGCGGGATCTCACAATCCACCCCCTTGGAGCTCAGCGTCCTCGTTGGCACACGCTTGGTATCTGGCTTTAATACCATTTGTAACAGCCTAAGCCCACCGTTATAAGATATTGTCTGCTTTGTTATGTTACGTATCATCGTTCGCCTCATAGTTTTAAAATATGTCTACTAGGGAGAGGTTCCATATCTTTATAAAGAATGTTTAGTTCCCCTCTCCAACTAAGATGAGATCTCACACTTCACCCCCTTGGGGCCAGCTTCCTTGTTGACACACCGCTTGGTGTCTAGCTTTATACCATTTGTAACAACCAAGACCACCGCTAGCAGATATTGTTTGTTTTGACCTATTATGTATAGTCATCAGTCTCATAGTTAAAACGCATATTCTAAGGAGAGGTTTCCACACCCTTCCAAGAAATGTTTTATTCCCTTCTCCAACGAGCACGAGATCTCATCATTTCTATTTTATGAGTTTGACTTCATGGTTTTAATTATTTTTTGTTTATATTTGGTATTTTGTGTTAACTTTCCGTTAATTTAAAATAATTATGATAGTAAATTTTTTTAATTAATTTTAATAATTATGAAAAATTAGTAAATAATTTAATAGACATTAATTATAACTATACCCTCTAGTTTTCATTATTTTTCCCTAAGACGAATACAAAATAATAAATTATTTATGATGGAAGTCGTAATTAATGAAAATAATTATANATATATATATATATATATATATATATATATATATATATATATATATATATAGCCATAGTCATAAAGAAAATACCAAAAATAAATAATCATTCCATAAAATTCCTAAAATTAAATTAGCAAAAAAATAATAATAATAATAATAAATAAATAATTCCTAAAATTCCAGTATAAATTTAAATTTAAAAAAATATATTTTTATTTATGAAATTCAAGTATAAATTTAAATGTTTCAAATAAATAAAAAACATGAGAAAATTAACATGATTTTCAAAAAATCATAAACCTCTAGTAGTGAATCGACCAGATTGATAGGTCCATACTTGTATTTCCATTGTTGATTTAGGGTCGCTCCTCTTGTGTTTATGATTTCACGAGACATTGTGTCAAGATAAACCTTTGTAACAACTCAAACTCACTGTTAGTAGATATTGTTCGCTTTCACCCAATATATATCGTCGTCAACCTCACGATTTTAAAATGCATCTATAAGAGGTTTTCACACTCTTATCAGGAATGTTTCGTTCCCCTCTCTAACTAATGTGGAATCTCACAACCTTGTAGTGGCAGCTTCCAATTGACTCGCACATACTATAATTGGGACCTATAGAAACTAAGTAATTGTATACCCATACTTATTAAGCCGAAGAATATGACCTTTATGTTCTAATATATATCTTATGAAGGCCCACGGTTTACTATGACAACGACTATAACCTAAAATTGATGAAAATAATTATAGTCTCATATATATGAAAGTGATTATGGCCCATGACATGAGAAAGCGACTATAGCCCATGACTTATGAAAGTGACTATAGCATATGATTTAAGAATGTGACCATGAACGAACTGAGTATTTTTATATTTATTCGTGTTACTGTTCAGTTTTTAAGTGATATATGAACGAAGGTGTGCTATAGAGCGAGGTTGTAATACCCAGATTCTTATATAAAGAAAAGGTATAATGGTCGCTAGCCAGAGTACCGGAGAAATGAGAAACGTGGGTGAATGTTTAAAATGAGTGATTTTCAACCATTTTCTAAAGATTTAAGAGTTGATTTAAGAGCGGATTCAAAGGAAGGAGGGCCAAAATCGAAGGTCGGGAGAAGGAAAACCCCCTCATCGATGTACAAAACGAGCTCGATTCATTGCCCAACGTTGAGCGGTCTTACCTTGGGATTTTAGGGATTTTGTTCGTAGGAGTAACCTCTACAACATTCCTTTAGGTGCCAAGAACATAGACGAGGAAGGAGATCGAGCATGAGTTTTCAAGGTTTGGTTTGAGTTTTTCTACATAAACTTCAAACTTTAATATCTTCATCGAACCTTAATGAAATTTCATGATTCCAAGGGCTATAGATTTGTGACGGAGAGCTCTCCAACTTTCGTGAAGGAATCACAGCAAAAAAAATGTGTTTTTTCTACAACTTTGATCGACTATATCTTCCTCATTTCTTGATAAAAGTTCATGAAATTTGTCCGATTTATATTCGTGGATTATAGTTTTACAAGTTTGGCAACATGAAACGAGCAACCAAATACCTAAACCAAAAAGGAAAAAAAATGGCACCAATGAAACCGTCCAAATCCTATTTAAAAAAAAATATGCGAAGAAAATAATCATACGAGCAACCTCTTAGAAATTAATTAAGAATAAGATATACCGTAAAAAAAAAATTAATTTCTGAACTAAGAATTATTATTATTATTATTATATTATTATAATAATAATAATAATATGTAATAAAATTTAATTTAACATAAACCGAATTCAGGTAGAATGCCACTAGAAGGTGGCAAGAAGCGTTATAAGGAGGAGTGGTGACGGCTTTATTGATAAACCGGGGGGGAATAATCCAATGTGGAAGATCCAACTGGGACCGGTCAATCTTAGAGGTATTTAAGATGGACGGCCTAGATTCAAAGCTACAGAGAATAAATAAACGCGTCCATGGTTTTTATAACGCCACATTTCCTCGCTGTCTCTAACCTCGCCCTTTCCTCTTCCCGCTCGAACAATAAAAAGCAAACGGAAAGTCTCCCTCGCCGTCGCCGCAAGTTCATCCTCTGATTCCGAGGTTTCTGTATCTAAACGGGGAACGAGCTTCCGTGAGATTTCGAAACAGCGTCGTCTTTCGTGGAGAAAATGGGAAAATCCAGATGTGAGAGAGAAGCAGAGGATCGACTTCTTGACTGATCGATCGATGCTGAGATTGAGGTGAAGTGATTGAAAGATTTGGAGAACCGGAGTGCGATGAGATTCGACGGAGTTTTGAGGATTTCGGCGGTGTTGGTGGTGGTGCTAGCAGCGGTGATGGTTGAAGAATCGAGTGCGGAGTATACGAAGATGAAAACGAAGACGATGAAGCACAGAAACGCTTATGCAACGATGATGTACATGGGAACGCCGAGGGACTACGAGTTCTATGTAGCGACGAGAGTGTTGATTAGATCGCTTGCGAAGCTTAACGTCGAAGCCGATCTCGTCGTCATTGCTTCTCGCGATGTGCCCGACCGTTGGGTGCGTGCTCTGTAAGATTCCGTATCTCTTTCTTTCTCTCTCTCCTCTATTGTTTTGTATTTTCATTTCATTTTTTTCCTATTTTTGCGCGATTTTCGGTTTCTCCATATGCTCTTCTTTGCTTGCTCTGTTTACTGAAACTGACATCGTTAGCAATAATTTTCCATCGGATTTGGTTCCCGGCGGGTCCGGCAGAGCGTAGGTCTGGTAGAATTAGGAAGTAGGGCCAGATTGTGGTGTTCCTTTTCAACCTTGTCCGTTGGATTGAAACAGTAATCGTTAAACAAACGGTGTGAATGGTGGAAAGTTATTTTAACTTTCGTAGTCCGTGTAGCACCCGAACATTTCTCCTGTCATCTCCGGCGCCGGTCGACTTCGATCGCGGCCGACGGATGGTGGCCGGCCGATTTGTTTTCTTTCCGTCTTTAGCCTAGAATACAAATACAAGACTCCTCTAGATTTGAAATTCATGGTTTTAATATTAACCTTTACCTTCCAGAAAAATTTTTAAATTAAATTTTATGAGTTTTTAGCTTATATAGATAGAAAACTATCCCTTCCAAATTTGATCAACCTACTTGGATCAAATTCGGAGTAATTTCGAATTTGAAAATCAATTGAAAATTGTGTAAAAAAATGGATCCATTATTTAGTTTGATAAAAATTTTAATTTAATTTTATAGGTATTTATGAGAAAAATCAACCATTCTTTAATATCAATATTGTTGCCTTGCCTTCCAATTGATAAATACACCGTCAGTAAGGATGATTTTTAATGGTCGATGTTCCTACGGTCAGGTCTTTTCTTTAAAAGGTTGTCGTAATGGGGGTTCGGGCAGTGGGGGAAATGATATGGCCTACGTATAGGGAGGTGACACGTGGTTCATGAAAAATTGATCATGCATTGGTGATTACGATTTTTATGTTTATTTTTTTTTTTTGTCTGATTTTGGACGGATCGATAGAGCTGAAGGGACTAAAAAAAGTACCTGAGCGAGTTTATCCAATTGTCCGTCTTGAAATTATTAGTGCTGGGTTTAACAGATAAGCCTTGGTGTGCCCCCTTCCTCTTTTCTTTCTCCCTCCGTAACCCAATTTTCAAGAGCCAGACACCACCACACAAATAAAGTGAATTTTATATCTAATAAACATTTTTTTGGTAGGAATTTAAAGGCTTTTGAAAATTAATTAATATGTAGATATAAATTTTAATTTTATGTATCAGTTAAAAAAATTTAAAAACTCAATTTATAAAATTTTTAAACTTACATTTTTTTTATAAGTTTGTCTTCTTAACAGTTTTTCTTCTTAGACTAATACTACTTTCCACAATAATATAATATTACCTTCTTCTTTAAACTTGATCTGGTTTTGTTTTGGGTTTAACCAAAAAATAAAATTTTATGTTTTTTTTTTTTTAAGTTTTAAAAATTATAATTGATTTTAATAATACTTTCGAGAGTTATATAAACAAAGAATGCTAATTTGTTTAGTTTACGCGTCAATAGACGAAAGTTCTCAACTTTTCTTCAACCTTTCATGATACCAAATAGTGAGTCATGCTTTTTAAATTATTGAAAATTTGATGTTTTCTCAAGCTATTTAGTTATTTGTTTGTCGATTAGTGGTTTAAAATCAAGATTAGATCATTAGTTGGAATATTGGATAAAACAGCAGTTCGGTCCAATTTATGATTAGATCATTGTCCTTTTAGCTTATGCTTTTAATCTTCTTTAATTTTTTTTCCATTGATTAGTTCATAAATATCTTCGTTTATGTTAGAATTTGTCATTTGAGTTCCAACCACCTTCTTAAAGAAAAAATGTACTTCTTTGGAGTTGGTATCAAAAGAGAGTGAGTCGATTTGGATTCCTATTAAGTAAAGGATCATTATAATGTGATGGATGTTCATATGACTGGATAATCCAATCAATTTGGACTACCCATTCAAATTATAAATGTTTGGTTAGGTTAGATCTTTTTTCGGTTTAGGTGGGGTTGAATTTTTGGAAAATACAAAATTTAGTTTTATTTGTGAGTCTACATTTCTTTTGGTAGGGTCAACTCGACCAACTTGAAAATCAAGTTATAATTCAACTTAATCTTACTCTATTAAAAAAAATTAAGAATATTTAACTTTTATAATAAATTTTAGTGATGGACGGTCACCTCTAGATATTTTGTATTTAAATTTTATGAAAATTTAATTATTAATATAAAGGCACGTATAGAATTATTTTAAATAATTAAAAAATAATTTGACACATTGGTTTTTTATGATTTTGTATCTCCCAAATAAATGTTTGATTCCTTCCAAAAACAAAAACAATTTCTTAATTTGGTTAGCTTTTAGTTTGAGTTTGGATTTTGAAATCATCCGTAGAAGATATAACAAGGAAACTCATCATTATTTGTAGATAGTATTTTTAAATTTACTTTAAAAAAAAACTACAAACCAAATTATTATCAAATAAAATCAAGGTGCTACATAATTTGTGAAGCAAGATAATTTTCTTTTTATTTATTTTTTGCATTTTCTCTCTCCATATATATTTTTTCAAATAATATTTTTTTAAAGTAATCCCCAGTTGTTTGTTTTTTTATTGAGAAATCCCCTTTGTTGATCAGTTGACTTGATTACAATAATCTGTCACTTTTTATTTCTTTCTGCAACTTACGTTTGAATAATCATAATGGTTTGATTCCAAGTATTTTGTTATTTTAATCATATTAATAACTAATTAACAAATTGTTATTATATTATTTCACTCCATGCTAGAGAGACTGATGATTATCGGAGGTGGAAAAGATCAGGTAGGAAAGGAAGAGGTTTATGGGGTTGTTTATCAGAATTTGGAACAATGACTTTCTGAAACATTTGGGCCAACAACCCTTTTGTCTTTCTTTTTCTTTGTCTCTCTTTGTCTTGTTATTATTAATTTTTTCAAATAATGATTTGTTTGGTCAATGTCAAGAAATGGTTTGAAAGGAACAAGTTGTCTTTGTTTCTTTTTCCTAATGTTCAGTGTTTGCCAACCCTTTTGTTCTTTTGTTTGACATTTTCGACCAAGGAAATTTGTGGGAAAATTATTAAATGAAAGCTAAATTAAAATCAGTTAAGTATCTAATGAAGGGAATAATCCCTAGACTTTACTGTATTGATGTATATTTTTCTAATTAGCTTTAATATGAAGATATTAGTTAGATTGATTGATGAGCCATGTTTTCATCAACTGTAATTTCGTTATGTTTAAGTATTTGAATTCATCTAAGTTTTTAGCGTGTTAGTTAGAAGACTTTTTTCATGATTAAATAGAGAAGGTTTTCTATGACTTGATTTTGAGTGTTTTGTTGGTTGAATTATAATTAAAGTTGCTAGTGCAGGAAGGAAGAAGATGGAGCAAAGGTGGTGAGTGTGGACAACGTAAACAACCCATATAGGAACCAATCTAATTTTGACCAGAGGTTCAAGTTAACATTGAACAAACTATATGCATGGAGTTTGGTGGACTATGATAGAGTGGTGATGCTGGATTCTGACAATCTCTTCCTTCAGAAAACCGACGAGCTCTTCCAATGTGGTCAGTTTTGTGCCGTCTTCATCAACCCTTGCATTTTCCACACCGGCCTTTTTGTTCTCCAGGTAAATCCCAATCATTATGGAGATCTATACGTTAGAGATGGTTGCTAGGAGTCTCATATTGGTTATTTAAGGGGATGATCATGAGTTTATAAGTAAAGAATATATTCCCATTCGTATGAGGCTTTTTGGAGAAACCAAAAGTAAAGTCATGAAAACTTATGTTTAAAGTAGACAATATCATACCATTTTTAAGAATCGTGGTTGTATCAGAGTTATGCCTTTAATTTAGTCTTGTCAATAGAACCCTCAAATGTCGAATAAAGAAGTTGTGATCCTTGAAGGTGTAGTTAAAAATATGATGTGTTTTGTTTGAGGGCTCTAAAAGAAGGAGTCGAGTCTCGATTAATGGGAGGTTGTTCAAGGGCTCCATAGTCCTCGGGAGAGGCTCTATGGTGTACTTTGTTTGAGGGAGGATTGTTGAGAATTGTTGGGAGGGAGTCACACATTTGCTAATTGGTATTGTTCAAAGTGAACAATATCATATCATTGTGGAAAGTCATGGTTTGTAATACAATATCGTATAGAATAAATATTTTGTTGTAATGAGATATTTGAATGTTTAATAATGGATGGCAGCCATCAAAGAGGGTATTTGATGACATGATAAATGAGGTGAGAGTGGGGAGAGAGAACCCAGATGGTGCAGATCAAGGCTTCATTGGCAGCTACTTCCCTGATTTGCTCAACCAGCCCATGTTCTATCCTCCCTCTAACGGCTCCATTCTTGATGGCAACTTTAGGCTCCCCTTGGGCTATCAAATGGATGCTACTTATTATTGTAAGTCCTTGCTTCCTTGTTTTTTTTTTTCCCTACTGTAGCCAAAGACCAAATTTGAAACAAAATCTTAGTGTTGGTTGGCAATATTCATTAAACGATCAATGCAATACAGATTTAAGATTGCGATGGAGCATCCCGTGTGGCCCAAACAGCGTAATAACATTTCCCGGGGCCCCATGGTTGAAGCCATGGTATTGGTGGTCGTGGCCCGTCTTACCTCTTGGCCTCCAATGGCATGAACAACGTCGTCGCACTCTTGGGTAATCAAATTCTCTCCCTTTTCACCTAAACTTTTAAAGGTTATACTTTGTTTTATTTATTTTTTTTTCATTTTGGTTTATGTGTTTTCGATTGTTATTATTATTTAATTAATTTTGATAATAAAAAATAACTATAAAATATTAAATTCAAAATTATTCTAAATTAGACTAAATTTAAGATTTACTATAATTTTGAGAATTAATGACTTAAATTAAAAGGGGAAGTAGTTAGACTAAAATGATATTTAACTTTTTAATTAACATGTTTTAATAAATTAACATATATTATAATTATTTAAATAGAATTTGGATTAAATTTTTGTACACATAAAAATAAAGCCAAAAAAGCTTTAGGTTTTCCATCACTTTTTAATCTAAATATTTTAAAAATAGTTTTTGGTCTCTAAAGTTTTATGAAATTATTAATTTAATCTTTAAATTTTAGTTTAATATATTTCTATTTTATTACAATTTAATTCTAACCTTTATAATTTTGTAAAATTTTGTTATGTAATTTCCAATTTATAATAATTTAAAATATTTGTGCTAAAGATTGAATTATTACATATTATTTATATTAAAAACTAATTTATTATATGCCAATTTTGATATTTCTCCGAACAAAATTATTACAAATTTGCGAAACCTAATTGACTAAAATACTCACAGGTACGGAGGGGAGTTGCCGGTGGTTTTCATCCAGATTCTGCTCTACCTAGGGATTCTCGCCATGATCCGTCTCGCTCGCCCTAATCTCACCAAGCTCTCCCACCGCCGATCGGAAAAACCCGCCGCCTCCTTCCAATACGCCCTCAAGCTCGCCGCCTTCTGGTCCATCCTCGCCGCCTACGCCATTCCATTCCTCATCATTCCCACCACCATCCACCCGCTCCTTGGATGGGGCCTCTTCTTGCTAGGCTCCTACACCTTCTCCTTCCTCGCCGCTACCGTCTTCCTTCTCCCCATCCTCTCCGTCCTCGTCCCGTCCCTCGGAATCTTCGGCGTCCTTCTCGTCATGGCCTTTCCCTGGTATCCCGACGGCGTGGTCAGAGGACTCTGCATTTTCGTATACGCCTTCTGCGCGGCGCCGGTAGTCTGGACGGCGGCGGTGAGGATGGCAGCGGCAATCCGGTCTTCGATTGACAGAGATGCTTTCTTTGCGGTGAAATCGGGTGAGTCTTTGTCGCCTTCTAGGTTTAATAAATGGTGTTGATGATTGGGATTTGGAACGGACAGTTCTTTTTTCCTTCTGGGGAATAGAATTGAAAATGGAAAAGGCTTGGTTTAGTGTAAGAAAATAGTGTTTATACTCATTTTTATACGTGGAAAGGGATTATATATATATATATATACACACAGTTTTCACTTTCTTGTGATTTTTATGGAATTTGGTGAATAAATTCTAAATAAAATCATATTTATAAAATTTATTAAACTTGAAAAATTGTTCAAATATTCTTTGAAATATGTTTGATTTGAATTTAGAAATCTATTTCACTCGTGATTGAACTTTACAAATCATTCAAATTTTAATTTTGTGTCAAATTGTGTTTAAAAATTTTAAATTAATTAGCATGATACCTATTTGAATGTTATATTCTATTGATAGACTAAAAACAAAATTGAATGTTTAAATTGAATGTTTATGTAACTAACTTTAAAAAATTTCGAATATGAATTTATTAACACTAGATAGAACGATAGTTTAGGAGCCTATTAAACACTTTTGAAAGTTTATAGACTAAATTGATATAAATATTGAAGTTTCTAAATATGACAAAGATGTGGAAACGAAAGAGATAATAATTAGTCTCCTTTTCTCTTTTCTTTCTCCCACGAAGTTAAAATTGATACAACGAGACAAAGTTTACGGTCAAACAGACAAGATAGAAACCATGTCCGTTACTACAAGGTGCTACATTATTTCCAATCCATAATCCAAGCCGAAGCCCAGACAAACAGACAAGGTAGAAACCATGCCCGTTACTACAATAATCTTATGTTCGTGAGCGTGTGTGTGTGCGTGTGAGTGTGAGATCGAAAAAAAAGTGCACGATTGAAACCAAGGCAAAAGGCACAATAGGCAGGCAAGGTATAATTATAAGATTTGAGTATAAACTAAAAACTAGGGTTGAACATTGAAACTTAACAACATATAATTATTTATTGGACAAAGTAATTTCTTGGAGATTTAACAATATTTCTGAGCAAATATGAGAAAATCAATGGAAGGAAAGCAGCAGCACATATCAGATCATCCAAAAGCATTACCATTACCTCACATTATACAACAATTTGCCTGAGACTCCAACATCTCTGGAGATCTGCACATATATATATACACATATCGAGAGAGTATATTCGTTAAAATATGTTCATGACGAACGATACGAAAAGAACGAACGAGAGATAAGAACAGGGAGAATCTACTCACAGTTGTGCAAGATTTGTTAAGTCGAAATCAGGTGCCAGTTCTTGCACGATATCATTTGGTGGCTGACCACATTCTTGCATTTTCTGCATGAGCTCAACGATTTTACTGAAGTTGTCGGGTTCACGTTCGTACACGATGTTGAGATCTTTTATCAGTACGTATTGCTGAGAGTAGCGTTCGTATTCTTCTTTGCTCAAACTTGCTTTATGCTCCTCCAACCACTTGGGATATCTTTCTCCTATTTCTTTCATTGGTTCATGGAGGATCTCTTTGGATAAAAGTTGTTGCATCATGGTCTCAACAATGGATTCCATGTCCTAACAAATAGTGCACGTTAAAAATTCATGATAAGACTCAAATGGAAAAATGGCCAAAACAGAGTGATCAAAAGGGTGCCCCAAGGAAAATGTTCATTTATGGTTCAATTTCGAAAAACTTTGTCCGAAAAACTTAGCGGGCTTGCAAATGAACGAGGAAACTATAAATAAGGCCTCCACCTATAATAATCCAAGCCCCACTATTAGCAGATATTGTCCTCTTTAGATTTTCCCTTTCGGGCTTCCCTTCAAGGATTTTAAAACGTGTTTGCTAGGGAGAGGTTTCTACGCCTTATAAAGAATGCTTCGTTCCCCTCTTCAACCGATGTGAGATCTCACACCACCCAACACTAAAAAATTAAAAACTACTTCACGTCTTCCAAAGAAAGCGAAGAACCGATCACCAACCCACGACAAACCTTAAAAAAACCCATCATCAAGCAACCTTGAAAAACTCTTCAGCTTTTCAAAAACTATTAACCCATTGAAAGAAATTTTTGGAAAAACCATCACCAGCAAAGAAATAAAAAATCTCCTCAACTAAGTCATCAATCTAAATATGAATTCAAAACAAAACTTTGTAAAGCTAAACCGGAAATAATTTCACGAAAGAGAAATTTCACGAAACTCGAAACCTCAAGATTCTATCAACACACAAAATTTGGCCGACATGAATGATGCGGTTTCCTTCTTCTGTCACAACACTGAAATAATAAGTCAAAAGACTTTCGAAAAAACTTCAAAAACATCAACCTCCATATTGAAATCCATTGGCTGAATGACTGATTCCACACGACTCAAACTTACCTCAGAGTCAATCACAAAGACGTCCCCACGAGGTGGACGATCCTTTGTCGAGTGAATAACTCCTCTTGTTAAGCCTAGAACATGGCCCAAAGGAGTGAAGACATAATGATTGTTGAGGGGTAAGATAAGTGAAGGGAAAGGTGGTAAGGCAACATTTAGATTGGAATATAAAAATTCTTCCCCATTTAACACTTGGGAGCTTGGGAAAAAAAATATAAGAAGTTTTTTTAGATTCCAATGCAGAACCATGAAATCGCTTAGGACTACTCGAAAGAACAATGATTGAAGAAAACCCTTCTACGCCTCTTTCTTGCAGAAAAGGAGTGTAACAACCCAAACCCACTGCTAGCAGATATTGTCCTCTTTAAGCTTTCCCTTATGGGCTTCCCTTTAAGGTTTTAAAACACGTATGATAGGGAGAGGTTTCCACACCCTTATAAGCAATGCTTTGTTCCCCTCTCCAACCGATGTACGGTCTAACAATCCACCCCCATTCGGGACCCAGCATTCTCGTTGGTACATCGCTCGGTGATTGGCTCTGATACCATTTGTAACCACCCAAACCCACTGCTAGCAAATATTGTCCTCTTTGGTTTTCCTTTATGAACTTCCCCTCAAAGTTTTAACACACGTTTGATAGGGAGAGGTTTCCACACCCTTATAAAGAATGTTTTGCTCTCCTCTCCAACAGAGGTGGGATCTAAAAATCCACCTCCCTTGGGGTCCCAACGTCCTCGTTGGCACACCGTCCAGTGAATGACTCTGATACCATTTGTAACCGCTCAAGCCCACCACTAGCAGATATTGTCCTCTTTGGGTTTTTCCTTCTGGACTTCCCCTCAAGGTTTTAAAACGTGTCTGATAGGGAGAGGTTTCCACATCCTTATAAAGAATGTTTCGTTCCTCTCTTCAACCAATGTGGGACCTAACAAGGTTCTACTGGTTGCCCCGTGTTCAAACTTCCAATTTGTAAATAAGGCTATTCCTTCAATGAAATATCCACTCCATCTCATTTCCAAGTACATCCAACCAGATTAACTTTTGACCAAGATTCTATTCAACAAAGAAGCCTTTGTTCACACCATCAATTAAAAAAACTAAGTGTGCGTAGATGACAAATATATATCATGAGGGAGGTGGTTGGGAAATCAATAATACTACTACCTATTTTACATAAACAGTTAAACTTAGACCATTTAGACCATTTTCAACTATTTCAGAGTACCTAACGTCGATTAAATGCACTCGCCAATCGAGTTCAAAGCCATCTATCTCTCAATAGTGAAGAATTTTAGCAATGATGGTTTACAGAAAACTTATAACGTAGACATTTGAACTCGTTTAAAACAAGTTAAAACTCCATTGCGTAAAAGGAATATACAGTGTCTGAAGGCAAAATCCCCAATAAATGAAGGACCTAAAGCAAGATAATGATACAGGGCAACCAAGAATCATATTGTCATTCCATAGAGAACCTTCTAACAAAAAAGGACCTGGAAAGATATGGAAGATGCTTTTTTCTGAAAAATGAGGGAGAAAATATTTAGAAACACTTGCAAACTCCAAAAAAAAACGCTAAGAATAAGTCTTCGTTATTGTCAGCATATGCAAGGGTCAACAACTAGACATCACTTGTGAGATCCCACATCGGTTGGGAGAAGGGAACGAAGCATTCTTTATAAAGGTGTGGAAACCTTACCCTAGCAAACGCGTTTTAAAAACCTTGAGGGAAAGCCCAAAGAAAACAATACCTTCTAGCAGTGGGTTTGGGTTGTTACAAATGGTATTAGAGTCAGACACCGAACGGTGTGCTAACGAGGATGTTGAGCCCCAAAGGGGGGCGGGGTTGTGAGACCCCACGTCGATTGGAGAGGGGAAAGAGTGCTAGCGAGGACGCTGGGTTCCAGATGGGGGTGGATTGTGGGATCCTACATCAGTTGTAGAGGGGAACGAAACATTCTTTACAAGGGTGTAGAAACCTCTCCCTAACATATGCATTTTAAAAACCTTGAGGGGAAGCCCGAAAAGGAAAACCCAAAGAGGATGACTGAAATGTCACAAGTTACTTGATAATGAAAGAAGATTTAGAGCATCTTTACCTCCTCCTCTTCTTCTACAAGCATTTTCAGAAGAAATACCTTTAACTATGGACCAAATGCCATAAAAATCTCCTTCTAAAAACACTACACACTCCTTCATCATCATACCAAACTCCCCCTTAATCAGAATCTAATCACTTGAGACTACAAAACATTGTTCAAGAGACAGAACAAGGAAAAGTAATGCAATTAAAGGCCAGATTCAACATTCAAGAGTTCCAAAGGCTTGAAGCAATGTACCTGAGAGCCAGCCATCTCCTCGAACTGCTTCACCCAATCTTCCATCAAAGCATCTTTACCAAAATCTTCAACACCAGGTTTAGGACCAGTCACTGATTCAAGCCCCTTGACAGCCTCCCTGGTCTGTTCTCTGAGCTTATCAAGAGCCTCAGAGACATGCGATTCCTTCGAAACTTTTTGCTTCCCTTTTTTCTTGCTCCTTAGGTCAGGCAAACCCATCCCTAAACCTTGAACCCCAGAAGGAAGAACCGCCCTACTCTCCGCCCCATCTCCACTTCTACAAGAACACAGAACTAAAAACGTCAAGAAACCGACTAAAAACTCTACCAAAAGGAAGTTTCCAACAGAGATTGATCGATAAACCTCGAAACGGAAGGACTAAGGTCGAATTTCTGAAAATCGTCCAAAGCACCTGAGACAATTCGAACAGAATTCATAACAAACACGAAGAAAAACGTAAAAGAAACAGAATCCCACAA